CCGGGCGGGGAGGGTGGAGTGTGAGGTGTCTGGAACGCTTGGACACGCCTGTTCCCAACTGAACGTCCTGGTTTTGTCTTACAGGGGCCCCCTCACAAATGTGCCTTAATTTTCGCAGATAACAGTGGAGTAGACGTCATTTTGGGAGTCTTCCCCTTTGTCAGGGAGCTTCTCTCTAGAGGGACGGAGGTGAGTGTGGAGGGCTGCGTGGCAGGACCCTTGCTCCTGCACTCAGTGGGGTTGGCGTCGCCGTGGGCCCTGGGCGGCGGCCCGGGCTCCTCCGTGCGCGCAGGTAGGTGCCGGGGAGGCGGCGGGAGGAGGAGAGGCCCAGCTGGTCACACCTCGGGGCTCAGGTCAGCCTGCCCCCAGTGTTGGAGGCCGTCTTCGTCCTGCCCCGAGAGCTGGCCCTCTCGGAGCCCCCGGGCTGCGCATGGCCGCACCCCTCTGCTGGCAGCCCCGGGTGGGCAGGTGGGTGGGCGAGCCCAGGCCGGCTGGGTGCTGGCGGCAGAGGTCCCTAAAGCGCCTGGGCGTCCTGCCACAGGTCATCCTGGCGTGCAACTCAGGGCCCGCCCTGAACGATGTGACCCACAGCGAGGCCCTCCTTGTGGCGGAGCGCGTCGCGGCCATGGACGCCGTCGTGTGGTAAGCTGGCCAGGGTCAGTGGCCCTGGCACGGGGAGGCGGGTGTTTAGGGGTGGTTCCCGGGGGCGCCGGCTCACTCTGCCTGGCCCCTTGTGCTTGGCAGCTCGGCGCTCAGAGAAGAGAGGCTGTTGCTGGTGCAGACAGGATCCAGCTCCCCATGCCTGGACCTCAGGTACCCGTGGCCCCTCCACCCTGGCCCTCCCCAGTCCCCCCCAGTCCTACCCAGTCCCCCCAGGTCTCCCCGGTCCCCTGTGCACCATGGGGGGGCAGAAGTCAGCGGTGCCAGCAGCAGCCCTTCCTCAGGGACCTGGGCAGGCGGGCTCAGGGAGCCAGGAGGGAGCAGTCACCCCTGTCCCTGTATGTAGGTGGTGGGGGCTCTTCCCCTTGAATGTGGCCTTAGGTGATTAGTTCATCGCTTTAGTGTTTTCTGCCCTGGAGGTTCTGGGAAGTGAAGCCCTGGGAGCCAGCCCAGTGCAGGACGGCATGTCTGGACTCTGGGACCCTAGCCTTTGAGTCTGTTTTGTGGGAGGTTCTCCAGTGCTGACTTAATCCCCCCCTCCAGCGCCCTTATTAATGTAACAAATGGAGCAGGATGATAAAGACCTCTGAAAAGGAGTGAGGTGTCTTGAAACTCAGAATAGGGGAGCGTCAAGGCCCAGTTTCCAGAACAGGCGCCTTGTAGTGACGGGAGCCGGGCCGCGGGGGGACGGCCCCCGTGCAGGCTGGGCTTAGGGCACGTGGGGTGCAGGGGCCGAAGGTCGGGGTCCCCTTGCTGGGCACTGCCCACCCCGGCCTCACTGCCCCCTTCTCCCTAAAGCCGCCTGGACAAGGGGCTGGCCGTGCTGGTGCGGGAGCGCGGCGCCGACCTGGTGGTCATCGAGGGCATGGGCCGCGCCGTCCACACCAACTACCACGCGGCCCTGCGCTGCGAGAGCCTCAAGCTGGCGGTCCTCAAGAACTCGTGGCTGGCCGAGCGGCTGGGCGGCCGGCTCTTCAGCGTCATCTTCAAGTACGAGGTCCCGGCCGAGTGAGGCGCCTGCCACGCCGGACCGCTCTGCTCGTCACTTGTCAGGGACGGATCGCGACTAGACAGGGCGTCCGCGTTCGGATCGGAGTATTTATGTCGTGCTTCCGTGACTCAGAGCCGGGCGCGCCCGGGCGTGGGCTGGGCGCTCGTGGCTCGGGCTCGGTGTTTCTTTAACGCTGCCGTGTTCGTGGTGGGGAGGCACGACTCCTGTCCCGTGAGACGTTCGTATTGGAATATATTTAACTGTTAAATAGTCTTATATATATATATATATATATATAAAATATAAATATATACGTACATGCCTCTGACGGAGGACACGGGAGGCTCGGGCACGCACCAAATAGTTTCCAGAGTGAGAACAGAGCCGTCTCTGCCTTCGCTGTTCGGTGTGAGAGCAGGCAGCGCGCCCGGGAAGCCTTGCTCGGTCTGGGCGCTTGCAGGCAGGCCCTGCCCACCCCTGTCCGGGAACCCGAGAGGGGGTTCCCTCCCTTTAGTTGCCTCTGGAACTCTTAGGCCCACCTTGCCTGTGGGCCGTGACTGCTGCCCCATCGCGTGGCCTCCGTCATCTGTCCCACCCCCTTGCCCCTGCTCCCTCAGGCTCCCGCCCCAACGCGTCTGTCTGGGGAGGCTCCTGCTGCGTCCCCCACCCTCCCGGGCCCCGCAGCACACAGGAGGACAGAACAAGGCTCTGAGCAGCACTCCTGACTCGGCTCGCTCGGAGGGCCCTTGAGGGCTCTCGGGCTTGGTGGCTGGTACCCTCTCCTGCTCAGAGCGTGTCGGGCTGCATGGGTTTGGTCACCACGGCCATGACAAGCGGGTGGGGGAGCTCACCGGGCCCGGCCTGGGGGTGCTGGGAGAGGGCGGGGCTCCCCCCAAGCTGGGCGTGCCCCTCAGGGTGTGGGCCTGAGCCCCAGATGCCCATCACTACAGGAGAGCTGGCCTCGGGGTGAGCTGTGCGCCATCCGTCTCAGGAACAAAGCTACGCAGGGGACCTGCTGTTGTGGCCCCCAGGCCTTGGGGACCAACCCTGAGCACTGAGGAGACCCCACAGCCCAGTGCCTAGGCCCTCCTCACCTCTGGAGAGCCCAGGAACGCGGGGGCAGGCTGGGTAAGGGGAGGCTAGCAGGCCTGTGGCCTGTGGGGACCTGATCTGGCCCTTTCCCCACTGGTCTTTCTACCATCCTTTTCACCCAGACCCGCCCTGCACCCGCTGTCCTGCTGGGCCCCCTTCTAGGAGCCTGTGCTCAGCAGTGTGGGGCCTGCACTGAACCTCGGAGAGTGTGTGACAGGTCCTGCACCCCGCCAGCCCCCGGGGGACCCCTGTGCTGCACCCCAAGTCCTGCCTGCAAGTGGCTCCCAGACCAACCCCAAAGCACTTGCTCGTTGGTAGAGGCCTGGTCCTCCTGTGGGCGGCCGCCAGGGGGAGCAGGGGGCACGGCCGTGTGCCAGGCCGGGCCGGGCTTGCCTAGCAGGTAGTCCCTGTGGTCCCTTCTCTGTGAGCATGCCCTGACTCTGACCCCAGCACGGTGTGGCCCTGTGCTGCCATCAGCCCGCACCGCAACACGGCTCAGCTCCCTGCGGCCACCTTCGTGAGGCCTGGCCTGGCCCCCCCTCAGCCAAGGCTCTTCTGTGTCTTCTGTCCCTGGTGGTGGATCAGCGCTGGCCTGGCTGGTCTGGGGCTCTCGGTGCACAGGCCGCCTGGCCCTGACACCCAGGGGAGCTCCAGAGTCCCGGCCAGAGTCCAGCTCAGCCTGTGTTGTGACGTTCGGTGGGTGCTCTCACCTGTCGGGCCCCGGCCCTCAGGAGGGGGCTTCAGCACCCCTCCCTGGGGGTCCTGGGCAGAGGCTGGGAGCCTGCGGCGGCCACACTGTGAACAGGGCACCAGGGCTCTGAGCATAGGCTCCTGAAACCTCCCCGGCCCCCCTGGTCCCCCTCCTGTGTCCCCCCACCCCTTTCCCAGCTGCAGCAGGAAGGCTCTGGGCCTCTTGGGAGCTGAGGGCAGCCGCCGGACAGTAACTGGGCACCAGGAGATGGCGCCCACCCAGGGTTGGGCGAGGTTTCCCGTCCCCGCATTTCTTCTGAGCCATGGCAGTCAGCCCTCACCCTCCTCCTGGGCTCAGACCTCTCAGGCTGAGTCCCTCCCTGCCCCGGCCCCGCCACTGGCAGGCAGTCCACCCCTTCAGTGCACCCGAGGTTGCAGGAGCCCAAACACCCCGCCTCGGTACTCCCTGTCAGGATGGGGCCATAGCTCCCCCAGACTGAGCGCCCCACAGTGGAGGAAGGAGGGGGGCTTCCTAGGTTCCGAGGGGTGGGGTGGGTCCCCGGCAGAGCCCCCCCCAGGCCCCTTTGTGAATTTGGGCAGGCGGTCAGCAAAGGTCCCTGGGGCCTGTGAGGGACACAGCAGGGAGAGCCCCCCAACTCAGCACCCATACCCACCAATCCAGCCTTTCAGACGTGGTGCCCAGGGCCTCTGACCCGAAGACAGGGCTTATCCTGGTGCAGAGGCCCGAGGCCTCCCCGAGCTGAGCCATGGGGGGGACTGCCCCAAGCTCCCTGCCAGTTGCACCCAGAGCGCAGTCCCTTACAGAGGTACTTGGGGTGTTCTGACACGTCAGGTGGCTCCTGTAGAGGCCAGATCCCAGGGGTAGCAGACAGACCCCCCCTTATGGCCCAGCCAAGCCCCTAGTTTCTCTAGGGAGGGACAGTCCAGGAACTGTGTGCAGTGAGACTTCAGGGGAGGTCAGCCCCCACAGCTGGTGGTCCTCTGGCCTGGAGTCCCTGCCCAGGGCCATGGTCTGTCCCCAAAAAGCGGGACTGGGAGGGAGGGAAGGAACAAGGGTGTATGCTGGGGCTCATGGCTCCAGCTCCGGGGTGCCAGTCCAGCTAAGCCCTCCGTGGGCAGAGGTCAGTGGTCCTCTGGGTGCGGCACAGACTCTGGCCCGGGAACACTGGGTACACGGCCACGGAGGGAGTGGGCCAGCAGCGCCCGCGGAGCAAGCGTCAGCGTGTTTATTGGAGTTTACGAAGAGTCTAAAACATCCCGTACAGAGCAGGGTTTGTGCAGAACAAGCTGCAGTCCGGGTGGGGGCACAGGCAACGTTCTGGATCACCCTGGGCACACGACAAGCATCCCCAGGGGCCTCGCGTGGCAGGGCCAGCAGACGCGCGCCGGCACACACCCTCGCAGCTAAAACCAGGTGGAAGTGGAGAAGGACACGGCACCGTTTTTGTGTTGTAGAAGTTTTGTCTCTAAAAGTTAAGTATCTCTCTCTGTATACACAGATCTTAAAGCCCAGGGCGGGCTCCCTTCCTCCTCGGGAGGTGGGGCTGGGGGCCCAGGGGCACAGCCGCACCAGGACAGGCGGTGGCTTTGGGAGCGAGCAGCTGTGTCCTGCGCAAACACCGGCCTGCCCAGGCGCCGGGCTGCAGGGAGGGCACACAAGTTCCCCGGGTCTGCTCAGAGTCTGAGCAGGAGGCTGGGGACGGCAGCACCTGATGGCCGGTCAGCGGCACCCTTGGTGGGGGCCAGCACATCCCCGCAGCCCTCTTGGCCCACGGAGCAGGCACCCTCAGGGCTGCCCCGCTCCTCCTCCGGGGGGTCCCCTCGGGCCCTGCAGCCGCTGCTGCCGCTCCTGGGCCTGGCGGGCCCGGCTGGCAATGGCACGGACGCGGCTCTGGCTGCGGGAAGAGGAGCGTCGCAGGAAGCCTTGGCCTCCTGCCACCCCCTCCCCAGCTGGGCCCAGGCTGGTGGGCGACGTGATGTCACCGGCCTGCTGGAACCCTGTGAGCCAGCGTAGCTGCTCCGTCAGGGTGTCCGGCCGTGCACTCGGCCCTGCTGGCCTCTCCCTGGCCAGGCCCAGGCTGCAGCCCAGGCTCTCCACACGGGGGACAAAGTCATCGGCGGTCAGGTCCCCGAGGCTCTTGGACTTGGCAGCCACAGTGCAGTCCCAGAGGCCCACCAAGGGGAGGCGGCCCCAGGGCAGCCTAGGAGCTAGGGGGCGGGGCTGTAGCTCTCCGGGCGCCACAGGCAGCTGGCCCGCAGCCCGCAGGTTGGGGTTGGATTTGCTTTTGGTCACAGTGGGCAGGTCCAAGTGGGCGGCTGAGGCTGAGCAGGTCCGCAGGGGGAGACGTCCTGCTGGGGCCCCTGTGAGGCTTTCACGGCCTGGGCCCAGGCCCGGCAGGGAGAGATCAATGACCGTGTCACTGGATGACACGCTAGAGGATGAAGACACGCTGCCACGGTGGCTGCCTGGCTCCAGCCGCTGCCACAGCCGGTCATTGCCTGTGGCATCTGAGTACACGGTGGGACAGGGCCCAGCCAGGGGCCACCGCCCACCCGGGGACTCTGAGGGCACCTGCGCCTCACTCTTGGCCCTTCTGGGCAGATGGGTCCGGGGGTGGCCCCTGCTGTCTGTCTGGCTGCTGGGGGCCCCCTGGCCTGCCCTACCAGCGCCCCCGCCGCTGCATGCCCACTGCCTGCTTTCAGGGGCTGGCTCGGGGTTCCTGTGGCCCCAGGTCCTGAGCTGGAGGGGCCCAGAAGTTTCCAGAGCCAGCCCTGGAGGGCTCGCCGAGTTGGTGCTGGGACCTGCGGAGCACTGAGGCCCTCCAGGGGAGTGGCTAGGGGCGGCAGCCACCAGCGGTGGTGGGCCAGGACTCAGGGCTGGCTCCTCGGCAATGGTTTCCAGGCTGCACAGGGAGGAGACCGACCTCTGCACAGAGAAGGGGCAGGTGTCTGTAGGGGAGAGAGAGGAGTGTGTCGGGGGCGTCCCTGTGGCTCCTATGCCCACAGGACCCCCCAGCCATCAGGCCCTTCCATGTCCACACAGCTGTCCCCCGCCCTGCCCTCCAGCTCCACAGCTGCTGGGGATGCAGGAGGGAGACGGGCCCTGTGCCCACAGGCAGGGTCTACCGGGCCGGCCAACAAGGGGGCTGGGGCAGCTCAGGACACACGGTGGGGCCGGGCCCCGTTACCTGGCACTTGGCTGCGCTCAGTTCCTAACTAGGGAGGCAGCGTGGGGACAGAAAGGAGAACAGCGTGGTCAGCGTGGGGGTGGGGCTGGCCAGCGTGGGGGTGGGGCTGGCCAGGGGACAGACAGAGGCAAGGCTGGGCGGGTGCAGGGACAGAGCGGGAGAGGGCTCAGCTTCCAGCCCACCCTCCCCAGGCTGGATCCGCTCCCTGTTCTGGGGGCCCCCAAGTTCTCTGTCACGCCCAGCTGGGAAGGGGTGGGGCTTCCAGAACAGAGCTGCTCTGGGCCTGCAGGCCTGAGTCCGTAGGGCCAAGTGCACATGCGATCTGCTCCCCTCGGCACTTTGCGAGCTGAGGCCCCACTGAGGCTCTGAGCCCTGTCCAAGAACCCACACCAGACTTCCCAGGGGACCGTGGTGCTGGCCGGGAGCTGGGACGCCTGCGGCTTGGCCCTGAAGGAGGCGGGAGGAGGGCCTGGAAGCTGCCCCCGGGTCCTAGCGGTCAGGCCGGGGAAGGAGACTCGGCCCAGGTACTGGGGCCCATGTCCAGAAGCCCAGCTCTGGGCTGTGGGCCTCAGCAAGCACAGCCTGGCCCTCAGACTGCGCAGTCCCCAAGCCGGACGGGAAGCTCCAGGGTGAGTACGCCTGTGGCCAGACCTGCTCTCACTTCCCCAGCCCCTCTGGGGGTCAGATGAGGGGCCCACGGGACCAGCCAGTGGAGCAAAGGGAACGAAGGCACAGAGAGCACATGGAGGCGATGGTCCAGGACACAAAGCGCAGCGGGGACTCCTGGCCCAGGCCATGCGAAGGCGGTGGGGCCAGCACGGGGCGCTGCAGAGGAGCGTCTGGGCTTACCGGTGGGGAACACGGGGGATTTACTCCTAATCTCCTCCAGCCTTTGAACGAACAGGGCATTCATCTCCCTCTGCAGGGCCCCGCCTGCCTGTGGGCGTCCTCAGGCCTGCAGGGGGCCCCCTCAGGGCTGCCCGGGCTGCTGGAGTCCGAGGACAC